CTTCAAATTTGGTTTGTCGACTTTGCATGCGCGAATTCGTTTTTTGAGTTGATACTTTATTGAGGCTATAAATTGCTTCTACTTAAATGACAAGCACGTTCGGAAGAAGATAAAAGGATCGCTGCAGATCGAAAAAAAAAGCAGATTCAAGCTGAAATAAAGACAAAGTTAGGACTTCTGGTAGATGTACCAAAAACAGGTTGCGGTAACACAAACAACGGTAATACGGCGGTTTTTTGAGGACGTCAATTTAGTGGCCGAAATAATCGGGATTGATAAAGGATTGATTTATCGGTTCAAGGTCATCGTTGAAACAATAACATGTGGCTATAGCGTGGATACTGATAAATTTGCAGTATATGCAATTGACACAGCCCGGATGTACGTATCGTTATGCATTTAGCATCCCATGACACCTACTGTTCATAAAATCTTGGTACACGGCAAGAGTGTTATGGAGCATGTACGTTTACCCATTGGTTTAATGTATTAGGAAGCCGCTGAAGCTCGTAATAAGCATTTTAGAGTATAACGACAACACTTCTCAAGAAAGTTCTCGCGAACAGCATGCAACCGAGACATTTTGAATAGGTTGTTACTAAGTTCGGATCCCTTTTTGAGTTCAAGTCGTGAGAATCCTATCAGAAAAAAGCAAGCCGTTCAGCATTGAAACCCAGCAAATGCTCAAAGTGAATGCCATCGTAGGTGGACAAAATACTGCAGAGAACGAAGTTCGCAGCGATTCAGACGAAGATTCTAACTAATCGAACGTAAGAAATCGCAAGTTATGTTATTAAAACTTTCGTTATTTTTTATTATTATTTTTTATTTCAGGGCAATGATTCTTGGATAATTTCTTTACTCTTTTTGTTAAATAATCCTTATATTAAGCAGAAGAATAAAAAAATCCTAGTTTCAAAACCCATTACTTTTTTTATTCGTATGGATGATGAAAGGCCAGATATGCACTGCTAAGTAGATGGATTTTAAAAGTTACAGTTAACAGAAAATTGCTCAAAACCAGTGAATATAATTTTGGCCAGGTTTTTGATCCAGTTACTCCTCTGTGGACCAGACCGAGAATCGAACCCGGCCGCCTTCAGTCTAGTCTTGCCATCAAAATATTTTCGCACAAGTTAAGCATTTAATTACAGGCAAACATCATGGTTTTGTTAAAGGACCTTTATCGACTACTAATCTGTTGAATTTTGTAACATTTTTTTAACGAAATGGATAAGAGACATTATGTTGAGGCACTATATACTGACTTCAGTAATTCGTTTGATAGGGTTGATATCTCTCTTTTGCTATTCAAATTATAATGAGAGAGAGAAGGATTAGTAATTTCCATTTAATTCCACTACCTTATTTACTCATCCTTGACAGATACGCGTATTTCGTCTACAATGTGCAGACTTCTTCAGTGTCTTGTACTAATACGCGACGCCCACATTCATCAGGATTATTCAAATTATCTAAGTAAGGTTTTAGTCAACATTTATTGAAGTGGATTCAGTCATACTTGACCAGTAGGACACAAAGAGTTAGATTTGAAGGAGATTTGTCGTCAGTAGTCAATGTAACATCTGGTGTGCCACAAGGTTCCCATCTTGGACCATTACTGTTTATTCTATTTGTTAATTATGTAGAGCACATATTGAATATTCTGAATGTCTCAATATATGCAGACGACATGAAACTTTTCCTGGAAATTCGTGAAACGTCTGATCTTGTAGTATTTCAACAAGAAATTAATAACTTTTACACTTGGTGCACAAAAAGTTTATTAAAGCTTAATGTGAAAAAATGTAATTCCATTTCATCTACAAGAAAGCAAATTATTAGGCAAGAACATGTAACAATAGGACCAAACAGAGTTAAAAGGTCCAAATCAAGTTAGAGATATAGGTGTTATACTAGATTCAAAATTAAGCTTTTTTGAACATTATAATAACACAATCTACAAGAAAGGCAACACCGTGGGATAACCAGTCGCATCGAAGCTTCTCGAGATTATCGTCAGTGATTATATTCTACGCACTACAAAAAACCACATTTCGTCAGATCAACATGGATTTATTCCCGGTAGGTCTGTTGCTACTAACTTGCTGGATCTAACTACTACATGTTTTTCGGCTATGGAAGATAAAGCGCAGGTTGACGTAATCTATACGGACCTAAAGGCGGCTTTTGACAAAATTGGTCCTAAAGTGTTGCTCTGCAAGCTATCACGGTTGGGAGCCTCAAATCGATTGGTGTCGTGGTTGTCATCGTACTTGACTGGCAGAACGCTGTTCGTTGAACACGGATCTTATGTTTCATCGCCATTTGCTAGCACGTCCGGTGTCCCGCAAGAAAGTAATTTGGGACCGTTATTGTTTGTGTTATTCTTCAATGACGCTGCATCTACCCTTGGCCACAAGCCACAATCCCGGCGGCGCCTACTGGTATTGAACCCAGGCCTGCTGGGGTGAGAGGTAATCACGCTTGCCACTACACCACCGGCGCCGTTTGAATATGTATTTTTGTATGTAGAATATGTTAAATATACAGTTTTTATTTCGGTGGCACTCTTGTTCCATCTGGCCCTATATTACCCGCCCCCTATGTAATAATAAGTAACGAAAAATCCCCCTTTCCCCACATACGTTACATAATTTGTAATGCAAATCATAAAAGATTTTTTTATATTTCTTTTTCAGTTTTAAAAATAATTGTTTCTGTACTTACCCGAAAGAATAATTTCAACATTCTCATTCTCATCCATGCATTGTGCGTTTATTGCAAAAATGTGGCGACCCCGACATGACACTGAATCTATTTTCAGGTTCAACAGTCGCCCCTATGCACGCTTACTATAAAGTTGTTTTATTTCCCTTGCCCCTTTATCAACGTACCCAGGTACATCTGCTTCAACGAACATTTAGACTCACTCTAACTCAATTTGTCTCTATCAGCACACTCTGACTCAGACCTCGAGTTAAAAGCATGGTGAATCAGAACGACTAAGCTCAATTACTGAGAGAGAGAAAGTCTGGTTAGATGAACACATTCTCAGCATTTGTCTGTTCTCCCACTGAGTTGAGTCGGAATATTTTTGTTATTGCCTCTGTCCTATTCGTAGTGAGAGCCTGGTTGGAAAGTGAACATTGTGAGTTGTATCTCTCAAATAATGGTACTGAGTTTTCATTGATGCGAAAATTTGCAACATTGGTGCAAGCTCGTATATGCTGATGATCTGAAAATCTATGTGGTGGGTGATACGCTGCATCGAGGACTGTTGTCACCTGCAAATGTTGCTCAACATGTTCGTTCAGTGGTGCCGCTCGAACAAGCTTGTCATCAGCGTCGCAAAATGTCATGTGATGACCTTCTATCGGTCCAAAGACCCGTTAATTTATGAATATCACATCGATGGTACTGTTCTTAGCAGAGTGGATCAAGTGACGGATCTTCGTGTTGTATTGGACTCGAAGCTTTCCTTTCATTCCTATTATGCATCGATTATGTCCAAGGCTAATCGTCAACTTGGCTTCATCTCTAAGATTGCCAAGGATTTCACGGATCCACACTGTCTAAAGCAGTAAGGCCGATCCTAGAAAATGCTTGAGTTGTATGGGCTCCAAACGACGTATCATGGAATCTAAGAATTGAGCCCTACCAGAAACCTACCGTGGCGTGATCCTTTGAACCTTCCAGCATATTCCGATAGATGCCGTCTGCTTGACCTCGAAATGCTTGATCGAAGACGTAAGCTACAACAAGCTACGTTTATAGCTAAATTACTCAACGGTGACGTCGATTGCTCTCATCTTCTGTCACTGCTTGATTTCCGTGCTCCAGGTAGGATGTTACGTCAGCAATCCCTGATGCAACCGAGCTTTCATCGTACTCTCTATGGCTACAACCAGCCTATTTGTGCAATGGTTCTTATGTTTGTATCCGTCGAGTCCGCGTTTGATGTTGGTATGTCTACACCTCAATTTGTGAATAGAGTAAGAAGACTGAACCTTATTTAAGACGAATAGTTTATTCATTAAGACAACTTTGTCAGATGACTTATTAAATAAATAAATAAATAAATAAAAATAAACATGCTCGGGTTTATTAAAAGGTTTAGCTTTCATTTCAATGATCCATACACAATCAAAACATTATACGTTGCATATGTTAGGTCCCACCTTGAGTTCTGTAGTATAGTCTGGGCTCCATATCAAGATACTCATATTAACCGCATTGAATCAGTTAAAAAACAGTTTCTATTATATGCTCTAAGAAAGTTAGGCTGGACGAGTTAACCCTTACCATCTTGTGAGTCTCAATGTATGTAGATCAATTTGGATCCACTTGAAAAGCGAAGACAGTTTGCAATGATAGTTTTTATAAACGATGTTGTAGCACAAAAAGTGAATGCCACAGAGATTTTAGAAAATCTAAATTTGTATGCTTCCACTCGTTCCTTAAGAAACATAAACATGTTTTATATCAACAATCAAAGAACAAACTATGCCAGGAACACGCCTTTAAATAGAATGATGTCTTGTTATAATGAACATTATGAAACAATTGATTTGACAATGATCAAAAATTCTCTTAAAAAACGCTTCTTTTCGAGGTTAGTCAGAGATTATTAAAATAGATGTTAAGTGTTTTTTATAACTTAAACTGGTCTACGTTTGATTGACGACGAATAAATAAATTACTGACTGAGCTAAAGAAGGTCAATTCCCTCTATGACGGCCAAATTAATCTCGGTTGAAAACCACTGGTCTAACAAATCGACTGGTACACACAGTTTTATGTAATAACTGTCAGAGGAGCACCATGGGAACACTACCGAGATATTTAATAAGATATTTTGACCATTTCTTGAGATTTTGAAGTATGCAAAAAAATCCTTCTTTTAATCAAAATTCAAAACTTGAGGTAAATGTTTAAACACTTAAACTCCTATTCTTCGACATGTAAAACATCTAAAATTTCCTATACCCACCCCACAGACGAGATGCCGGTGGACGCCAACAACATCCTGATCCACGCTGCCAACTGCATGTTCATGCTGATCGATCTTATCATCGTGGCCTACCCGGTGCGAATATGGCACGTGGTGCAACCGATCGGCTTCGGACTGTTCTATTGCCTATTTTCGGTGATCTACTACCTGTGTGACGGTACAGGCAAGTAAGTATCACACCGCCCTGAATGCAATCCTACTAAGTACCTATCTATCTGAACCGAATCGAAACATCCAGTAGAAGCATTAAAATGTTGCACCTTTACAACAATCGTACCATCAGCTGACTAATGATTGCTTGTAGTAAACCACGTTCGACAACACCGTAAACTACCTCTCCGCTGCTGCTGTGTGCAACATGGTTGATATCCATAAGCTTCGCTTGCTCGGGCCGGCGCTCGTAGGGTTGATGTTCTCGTTAAACGGTTAATTTCAGCAGACGGGTGGACGTTTTTTCCAATGTAAAAATTAATAACCCAGTTAGCCAGTGGTACAGATCCACGATCCGGCAGCAATTTGCCTTAAGGTGTTACCACAGACAAACAGACCTAACTCTAGGGGTGGAAATTCTGCAAAAATATCGTCAAGCATATTTCGCAGGCACGCTAACATCCCACTCGTTCATGCAATATTTACACTACATGCTTTTCCGTCAATCTGTCACCAGCTGTGTTGAATAAAAACAAGACAGTGATGTCGGTTTGATTGAATTTCGCCGAAATACGGATCTTTAGGAGATATACACAGAAGTTCAAACTTTCTTAGGAATTTATTCTGTTTGTTTAGTGTGCTTTTTTCTTTTATTGGAAACAAGTTTTTAAACGTGGTAATGCATCACTAATCAGTGTCCTTTCTACCACCGCTCATCACTTTAATGTGTACACAGAAAACAAATATAATATGTATCAATCAATGATATTCATTGTGATGTATTGAACATCCATAACTGGAGAAGAGACGAACCAGCCCACGGCTGAAAGTCTCTCTAATAAAGGAAAAAAACTAGGGAGGTTGGTTGGTTGGAAATGCTATCTAACATGAAGCTTCAGTGTGATAATTTATTAGCTAGAGAATGGTCTGAAGAGGGTAGGTAGATAGTTCCGCTAGAGTATGGCAGTATGAAAATTGAATAGAAGTTGACAATGAACGAAGGGCCATTAATGCAACAGTACTAGTCAAACGCACACTTCTTTACCTACACACTTAGAAAAATTCATATAAATTAAGGTGCTCTGTAAATTTTAACATAAAACTGAGTCACAATAAACACGAAATTCAGCTCAATCAAACGTACTTTTCGTCGAGTAACGAACTTTTCAGTCTCGAAGTACTTAATTTTACATGACATGTTTGTTTACATCTCATCCTTTATGTCAAACATGGATTCCGTCACGTGTTTCGGTATTTCTAAGTGTGTAACTTGTACAATGTACGCGGATACTTGAAGTATTTCTCAAATTCTGTGTACATCGTTCAGCGTAATATTACACAAGCGAAATGACCAATGAGCAGCAGTTTGGATGCAATATTCAACAACTTTTTTTCTGTATTCGTCAGATATATTATATGTCTCCAGTAAGATGCCTTGATCACTTATCATTTTCAAGAGCTGACATCTACTAAAGTGACCTGAAAAAGAACTGACATCACTGATAAGTTCGAAATGTGGTTGCTTGCTCAACGTTTCAGTAGCGCCACCATGACAAATACGAGCACATTCCCAAAACCATATTTGCGATGCATGTGATTATGACAGTTATGTCCGTTTGTCTGTGGTGTTACCTTTGCGTGTCGGTACGTCGTTCTATGTAGAGGTACTTTATGGTTGATATTGTGTGTACTACTGTACTTGGTCGATAGGTTGCTGACTAAGCGCCATGAAGAGCTTGAACTCGGAGAATGTTGGTTATTGCATTACGTAATTAAAGGGTAGCTGGACAGTAATGAGAAATTTGTCCGAGATTCCATGGTGGAGATATGACGAGTGCAAAGTAGCGTGGCATTATTATGTCTAATGAAGTCTATCCTGGCCGATGATCGCGCGGTGCTGTGTGCAGTATGTAGCTGCTGGGAGCCTAATGAATGGGACATTTACTATAATAGGAGTGAAGCATTATTCCTTGCTGCAGCCACCGCCAAATAACAAAAGATAATCATTCATTCAGTCGAAAAGAAAGAGCTTACTGAGGTAGATTGAATAAGAGTCATACCTACTTTACCGCCGCGCCGTATAGATGATGATGCGTGATGTAAAAAGGCGACGAACCTCTGTCAATTGGTTCTGATTTTTTGAATGGGAATGTTACTTCATAAGCACAGGATTATGTCATGATTTCGGGCAATAGAAGACATAAACTGCCCAACTAAATACTAGGGCTAGCACTCGATACTTATACTTATTCTACTTATTCTACATCATACAACTCGGGGAATCGAGCGAGAAAACCAGTACCGTAGTGCTGCGATAGCAACGACAGTATCAGCTGCTATCGAAGATGACACGATTCATAATAGCTATTTTCTGTTCTATTACAAGTATCTTAGTATCTTAGAAACATATTGGACCGTATGCGTTAAATACAGAACGAGAAAACCCAAGTGATGAAAGATATGATAGGGTAGAGAACTACTCCGGCCTAATCGCCCATGTTGAGCCTATCGAGTGGAAAACGTCAAATAAATCCATGATTTCAGAGTTAACAACACACTTAGAAATAACTATTTTTACACGAGACGAAATCCATCTTTGACGTAAATTATGTAACGTTAACAAACATCTCATGTAAAATTAAGCGTAACTAAACCGAAGCATACGCAGCTCGACGAAAATTACGCTTGATTGAATTAATTTTCTCGTTTCTTTCAACTGATTCTTATGTCATTTGGGCCGGTTGCATGTGTCGGTCTCAGGGCACGGAAATTTACATGAATTTTTGGTAGTGTTAAGTCAATTATGCGTTTGGTATGATACTTTAGTTAAAAAGCTACCGAACAAAGTCAATGAGAACGCGTAATATGAATGTTAGCACCCATTATTCTCAAAATCAAAAGAAGTGCTCTGACCGAATCAATGTTTATCTTCATCCGATAGGCCGAAGTGAACTTTTGAAGACTTTTGAATCTCGTTTCAATATGTTAGGCCGAACTTAGAATTATTAGGCGGAGTTTGGGGTTAAGAAGCAGTGTTAGATTTTTAACAATATCTCAACAATTTAATTCCCTTTATTAAGTTTTTAATTTTAGTTTTTTCTACCGAGCTCGGCTGTGCAAATCTCGGCAAAAAAAAGTTTCACTGGGATCTCAGCAAAAGTGACATTTGATTGCTGAGTCTCGGATAATGCTCAGCTGAATCTTAGCAAACAAATGAAATGTTTGCTGAGATCTCAGTAAAACCACAAACGAAGTGACAATAGACTAACTATTCTTGATTGTTCTTCGAATGACTCCAAAAAACTAAGCAAAAATCAAGTTCAATCGTGACATTATATGTTTTAACATGCATAATCATGATTTTAAAATGACCTATTTTCGATTTTATTTTCGAAGGGACGTATCAGCTTTTGTAAACAATGCATTTGATCGTCGATTTGGCGTAACTGGTAGCTCGCCAACGCATACTAACAATACCATCAGATAGGGGAAATTTTCCGACGATCAAATTGTTTGTTTACAAAATCACAATCAAGCATTTGCCTTGAATTTTAAGTATAACATGATAGAATCACTGACGAACCGACAAATTGTCAAATGAGCGATTCTATCTGCCATACAGACTACCAAATATGTCAAACAAGATCAGACGCAAACCAAGTCAATACAAATTTTACGTGTGTTTGTCTCCTTGCTCACGTTACACTGATAAACAATTTCCATTTTGCTTGAAATTTAATCAATTTGACATTAAACTCAGTTTAATCATATCGAATGATTAAAAATTAATACTCTCTTTCTAAAATATAATCATCTGATATTAAACCCAGTTTAATCATGCTTGATTAGATTGAAAATAATCTTTTTTGAATAAATTTTAATCATTTTTGATTCTATTTAAATAATTTTTGATAGAATTTTAATCTCTTTTGGTTATATATTTATATTCGAAAAGAATAAAATTTAATACTGGAAAGATTACTTCGAATTATATCATGCATGACTACTGCCGAAGTAATCATGGCTCGGACTCAATAAGGTGAAGCGGGAATCTTCATACTTTTAAAGCTTTTTTGATTTAATTTATCTTTGAGTGTACGTTATGACGCGATCGGATGACTAGATGGCAGAACGTATTTAAATGGGGTGAACGTATTTCAAATATGGCGTTTTGGGCAAGAATTTGAATGCTGCTTCTATGAGCTGTCACGTCGGTTCGACGGTGGTAGAACCTCGGGTAGAACCAACCGATGGAAACTAACGATTTCAAATTGGCTCACTACATAACTAGCCTATTGGTCCCAAGTCAACATTCTACACTATGTTTGTTTTGATTCGCTATGAAAGATTGACAGATAAAATCTACACCAACAATTGAAATATGCGGAACAACCAAACGTAAACAATGGCTTTAAACACAAAATTCTCGAAAATTAAAACACTTCCACGCTTCGATAAAGGAAGTTTGCTCTATCAGATGATTGTACTAGATTGCTTGGATGTGCTTTGATTCTCGAAGAATTTGCGTTTCAAGCCATTGTTTATATTTGGTTGTTCCGCCTATTTCAATTGTTGATCTAGAAATGAGGGCGTTCGCGGATTTTCCTATCGTCGGAACGATTCAGCGGTATCAGTTCCAGTGGCGGAATGGGCCTAAGCTTATTTTTAAGAACTTTGGTTAGTTTCCAGAACGGCTTAGCACGATTTGGGAAAGAGCGGATCTTACTAGTAAAGTCGTTATTTCTGGGATCAACCATCCTGGTTTGGATAATTTTGGTAAGGCGATTGCAATTGGTCTTATGGACAGGCAGACCAGAGCGTTGGTACTGCCTTCGGATGGTGTTACGGAGTCTTATAACATATTTGGTAGATCTGTCAAGGTTCAGAGTATTGCCCAACTGTCTGGATACTTACACGTGTTGTTCCCTGGCCCAGGATATTGCCTTCTCGATGGATTGCAGACGTCTTCGGACGTCTCCGGTTGGACATAGTAGTCGAGGGTTGTGTCGTAGCAGTG